TTTTTTTGCGAGCTTTTGGAGTCCGCCTCTAGGGAGCCGTTGAGCCATGGCTCCATTGTTTTACACTCGTGAACAGCTGTTGGCGCTGAGTCAGGCCAAGACGCCCATAGATATGTATAATAAAGCCTTTATTATATACATCTATGCCGCCACCGTCGTGGGAGAGACCGGACATCCGCAGTGAGTTCCGCAGGAGGAAGAGGGGATGCAGGGCAGGAGTGAAGTTTCGGGAGGAGAGGGGAAACGTGAGGTCTCTCCCTAACGGATGAAAGAACCAACAGCTAACAGCGCTGAGCCGGCTGCAGTGGGAGCATCGGGAGTGCAGCCTCATGTTGTTCACCGAGTCATGGCTGAACGAACTCACTCCGGACTCGCTCGTAACTTTGGACGGATTTCACCTTGAGGGAGAGTGGTGAGAAGAAAGGCTGGGGACTGGCCTTGTATGTGAATGAGAGGTGGTGTAATGCTGGGCACGTTAGCGTGAAAGAACGGCGCTGCACAAAGGATGTTGAACTGCTGGCGGTTGGTTTGCGGCCGTTTTACCTGCCGAGGGACTTGCTGGTGCAGCCTGTGACCTCGTCCATAGTTCAGTGTCCCAGCTGTAAACTTGACACCCCCAGTCTCTGATCGTCATCTCAGGAGACTTTAATCACACATCGCTCTCTCCCCACATTCAGCCAGTCTGTGGACTGCCCAACCGGAGACGGTGCTGCTGTGTGGATGCATATTACTTAATTATTATTTTTCTTGTACTTTCTTTCTATAATTTTGGATGCTGCTGTGGTGTGTAAATTTCTCCCAATGGGGGATCAATAAAATTATACTATTCTACTGTATTCTAGAGTGAAGTTAGCATGTTAGCTTAGCAACCGCCAGGTAGCCGGGTCAGCTTCTGATTGGACACTTGCGGGAAACTTAACTTTGCGCTCAGATTCTCGGTTTGTTCCACATTTACATGAATTCAGACTATGTTCGTTTACCTGAAGCCCCGGTGCCGAACCACTTTACCGTCCAGAACCTTTAGAGATGTTACTGCTTTTCCCTCATACAGATCTAAAAGCACTAAATACAAACCTGCACTAAACTGCTTGTACCGCTGTGGAGTGAGGTTAGCATGTTAGCTTAGCAACCGCCAGGTAGCCGGGTCTGCTGACCGAAAGCGGCTATAAGAATGTTGTTGTGATTTCTGTTCCAGCCGCGGAAGACTCAAAGCAAGAAGGCCGGGAAGGGGATGTCCTCCTCGGTGGTGGCGACGGAGGAGATGGCCAAAGATCAGGTCGGATGCTAACGGCTAACGTCAGAAGTCCGCTTCTGATTGGACACTTGAGGGAAACTTAACTTTCTGCTCAGATTCTCAGTTTGTTCCACATTTACATGAATTCAGACTATGTTCGTTTACCTGAAGCCTCGGTGCCGAACCACTTTACCGTCCAGAACCTTTAGAGATGTTACTGCTTTTCCCTCATGCGGATCTAAAAGCACTAAATACAAACCTGCACTAAACTGCAGGTGTAGTCTTGTACCGCTGTGGAGTGAGGTTAGCATGTTGGCTTAGCTGCAGGTGTATTCCCGTGGAATCCTGCTCTATGTTGCACCACAGCAGTGTGTCTGTCCTGCAGCTGATGGAAGACATCATTCGTCTCCGGGAGGAGCTGGACCGAGTGCGGGAGGAGAAGAGTTCCCTCCGGCGGGACCAGGACAAAATCCAGGTGCGGTGTGAGATCTCCAAAAGGGAACTAGAGGAGAAGGAGGCCAAGCTGAGGAACCGACGCAGGCAGAAGGAGGAGGCCAAGGAGCGCCACCGAGTGGAAATTGGAGTGAGCCGCACACACACAGTTCCTTACACATTTAACCCAATGGTAACCTTACTGTAATCAAAAACTGAAATTAATCTATACCAAGCCTAACTTTACCCTAATCCTAACCTAACTTTACCCTAATCCCATTTTAACTTTAACCTAAACCCAACCTTACTTCACCCTAATCCTAACCTAATTTTAACCTAATCCCAACCTAACTTTAACCTAACCCTAATCTAATTTTACCTGCTGGTAATTTTAACAGCTGGTTTATGGCTGTTTGTTGGTCTGCAGGTCTATGAGCAGAAGATGAAGCACGTTCTGTTGGAGCACCACAACAGGACCACTGAGCAGAAGGTGGAGGGTGTGGCCTCGTCCACGCTGGTCCAGAACCGGCACTGGGAGGCGGAGCTGGAGCTGCACAAAGATTTTCAGGGCCAGCAGGCAGAACTCAGGAAGAATAAGCTCCACGGAGAGATCTTCATCAAGGATCTGAAACTGGTGAGATGTTCTCCGAAAACCACTGTGACATTTCATTTCTCCACCTGAACACCGCAGACTCACACTCTTCGTTCTCCACAGAAACACCAGGTGGAGCTGATGGAGCTGAACAACGAGTGCAAACACAGGATCCGAGGTGAGAACCAGAGAACCTGTAAGAAAGCAGGCACAGGTGTGAGCTAGAGAACATTAACCAGGTGACAAATTACAGCTGATGCTCACATGAGTGATTAGATTGTAGATTACCTGAACACAGAACCTGAACAATCCTTATAAACTGTTTCTAAATGTTCCTTAAAACGTTCCTCACACAGGGTGTTCGTTAGTGTTCATTATAAATGTTTCTTACAGTCTGTTCCTTAATGTTCCTCATAAACGTTCCACACACACCCTGTTACTAAATGCTTCTTTTAATTTTCTATGTGAGTGTTCCCTATAAATGTCCCTCACACATCTGTTCCTGAACGTTCCTCATAAATGTTCCCCATAAACGCTCCTTACACATCTGTTGCTGAACGTTTCATCCTCAGAAATGGAGGTACAGTTCGAACAGCAGATGCACTCGCTGATCAAGGCAGAGGAGGAGCGGCGGCTGGTCGAGGTTGACAAGGTGGACGACCAGATGAAGAGTCGCGTTGCGGCTCTATTAGAGAAGCAGGACAGGGCTGTGCAGAGTATGGAGATGGGCCACGAAAGCAATCAAGAAGAAGCGCAGAAGGAGATGAAACGGAAGAAGGTGAGATGTTAGAAGGAACCAATCACAGCAACAGAACGTAGCTACAGTTCCTCAAATTCTCAGAGAGTAAAGCTGCTCAGGCTTATGCTCTCCGGATTCAGGTTGGGTTCTGTTTGTTGTGCTGGCGTTCTACAGGAGAAAATGGCTAAAGTGCAGAAGCGGCATGAGCAATTGTCAGAAGCTCAGCAGGAGAACCAACGTCTGAAGGAGGTTCTGCAGGAGGTGGAACACAAGAACCACGAACTGAAGAAACAGATACAGGAACACGACGAGGCCGTGGCCAGGTGGAAGGTAGGTTCTCCACAAGGGGCATCAGGTTCTGCTATCGAACACCACACTGGACATAGCGACATGCAGAATAAGGTCTGTACCGAACAGAACCATTCTCAGTCTCAGTCTCAGTGTCATTCTATTTATGCAGACTGAGACACAGAAAAGGTGTTCAGCGACAATGGAAGAACTATCAAATAAAAAATAATAAACATCTAATTACTAAAATGTCAGATTTTTTTTTTCTTTTGAACTTAAAAAAATAAAAAATAAAAATCACAAAATGGTCCTAAAATGTCTCCCAAAAAATGCTCATAAATGTCTAGATTTTTTTTTAAAGGTCAATTATCTGGAAAAAAAAATCAGAAAATAGCCCCACATATTTATTAAATGGCCTCAAAATGCCCAAAAAATATAAGTACAATTTTTCAAAGACATCATAAAAATATTTCAAACGAAAACATGTCTGAAAATATTAAAAACGGTTCAAAAACTGACTTAAATATCAGAAAAAAATCATTTAAAAAAAGCTGAAAAATGTTACAAAAATCTAAACGTGCAAAAATGTATCGAAACAGCAAAAATAATTAAATGTTTTCAAAAAAGTTACTCAAATGTCAGTTTCCCCCCAAAAAATCAAGTAACACCAAAATGTCTGAAAAGAAACTCCCAAAATATGCGCGCACACACTTATATATTAAACACGAAATTTAAAAACTGTAAAATGTCTGAAAACAAGGATATTTCCCCAATATTTAAATTAAAATGTGCAAAGAATATCTTTAAAAAATTTGTTTAATTATTTAAAAAAAAAATGATTTTAAAAATATCTTACCAGCTTCACCTGCATCTGACTAAAATGAAATGAAAAAAAGAAAAACAAATGCATGTTTGGTTCAGGCTGCAGCAAAAATCCCATCATCACTTTTGGATTTGTTTCAGTGAAGAAGAAATGCAGAAGTCACCATTCCTCGTGTTGCACAATCTGTCAAGATGATGTTTCTTTCATATTGTTCTGGTCTCTGTGCCTGATATCAGTTTTAACAGAGAATCAGCTGAACTCTGGACAGAACTGAGACACTCAGTTTAACCTCTGAACCTTCAAACTGTACTGCTGGTTCTGTGCGACAGGTGAGCCGGCCTCAGGTGAAGCTGATGGAAAAGGAGCTGCGAGATCTGAAGGTGGAGCACGTGTTGCTGCAGCAGGCCTGCGAGGAGGTCAGCTGCCTCTCCTACCTCAACCTGTCAGGGCTGGTCCACGAGCCGATGCTGTGTTCTGACGCTGGGTTCTGGTTTCGGGCAGGTGGAGCGGGAGCGGGACGAGCTGCAGACCCAGCAGACGCATGCGGTTCTGGACCTGCAGCAGCGCAGCGGGCTGAGGCAGATGCGGCTGCAGAGGAAGCTGGAGGAGATGACACAAACTCACCAGAAGAAGGAAGCTCAGCTCTGTGCTGCTCTGTCATTCTGCAGCACCGATCCACAGGCCAGAGCCAGCGCCACCAGCAGGCTGGAGGTACCGGTCCACACTGAGCCCCTTCTCAGCAGCCTGCAGCAGAGACACAAAACCACCATAAACTGACCAGAAAGACACACAACACAATGACAAAGA